CGTATTCTGCTGAACTGCAGAATGATCTCGAAGACGTCGAATTCTTGAGAAACTTGGCCTTTCTCACCGATATCACTCAACACTTGAATGTCCTGAATCTGCAATTGCAAGGCAAGAAGCAGACAATATGTCAGATGGTTCACTTTGTTGACAGTTTCCATAAAAAGCTACATTTATTTAAGTCTGCATTGGACAAAAATAACCTTCTACAATTCCCTTGCTGTCGGAAACTCTCAGAAGAAGAAGGCTTGGAGTTTAGGGACTACACTGAAATTATTGAAGATTTGTCTTCAGAGTTCGACCGACTTTTTAACGATTTTGAGAGCTTTCGACCTGATATTTTTTTATTCAGTAACCTTTACATTGTGATATAGAATATCAGCCAGGTCATCTGCAATTAGAGCTTTGTGAACTTCAATGTGACCCATCCTTAAACACATCTCAGGTTACTGGAATTGACTTTTGGAAACTGCTTTCACCAGAACGTTACCCACTGTTACAAAATTGGGCTCTCAAACTTTGCTCTATTTTTGCAAGTACTTACATATGCGAGATAGCGTTTTCATCGCTGAAGCATGTAAAGTCTAAGAACAGGAACAGACTTTCAGATGTCGTGTTATCACATATTCTCCGAGTGGCAACCTCACAATTAGAAGTGGATTTTATATCAGTGGTTTCCAGTTTTATGAAACCACAGTGCTCTCATTAAAACAGTGTGTATATGAGGATTTAGGTATAATCATTATACCATAAAAACTATGATTGAAAGTCTTTTGTGCTCATCCCTGCTGAAAGAGGAATTTGTGCTGTTTTATGGTAAGTAATTGCAAATTTCAAGGCATTTTATTTTTCTTTCTTAAATTATAATTGCATTTTTCCACGGCATATATAAAACTAAACATAAGGCATGATCTGGACAGTGTTTCTTTAAGAAAAAATGCTCTGGGTGTAGAAGTGATAGAAGGCAATTTTTTCGATTGGTGAAATTTTCAATATCGGCTTAACATTATTGTTGCAACGTAAAATTTAAATACATAGGTTTAAATGCACTTTTTTACAGGGGTTATGACTGATTCAGTTTGGGGGGTAATACTCCCCGACCACTCTTCTGAAAGAAACACTGTATCTGGCCCCTGATAGTGTTCTGTAAACTGAATTTGGCCCTTGAGATGTATTAGGCTGGCCAACGCTGGTGTAGACTGCAGCATCCCCCACTGCATACTGTTATTCCATCAAGTTTTGCGTACTTTTAGCTGCCTTTCCAGAAATGTTCACACTTCTATAATTGTGTGCTGTGTGAGATATTTTCTTAATAATTCATCTTTCTAATTTCAGCAACCTCTAAATTAATTTGCAGCAATTGTTTATAGAATATGACATATTTTGTTGGTCCCAGATACTGCAAGAGTCCATCTCCCTCTTCATGTTTCTACTCACCATGAAGGACAAGAGTGAAGAAACTGTTACGGAGTATCCTATTCACCATGAAAGACAAGAGTGAAGAAACTCTCACGGAGTAGCCTACTCAGCATGAAGGTCAAGCGTGAAGAAACTGTCACGGAGTAGCCTACTCGGAACAGCAATTGGAAACTGTGTCTGCTCCGCACTGCAATATTTATTATGATCTGTCCCCTAATAATGATTTACAAATTCCACTCTGGCACAACGAATTGCACAATCCTTCAGGAAAACTACCAATTTTTACAAAGTATAAAATGGGGAACCTCGCTGTAAGTGACTACTCGGTTTGCAGGTCATAATCCAGAACAGTTTGCAATAAAAGTTAAAAGTACGTTTTTGTCAAACTTCACTTAATGTAAAGTAGAAAAACATGCAACAAATGTGTTCCACAAATTACACCTTCAGCAAGAAGAAATCTACGTTTATAAGTACTCTACATTAACATCCTAATAATGCACTTTCTTCTCACAATATAGAAAACACAGGACAACTTGATACTTTAAGCTTTAGAGAATTATATTTACTGCAATAGAAATTTGTATTAACTTTGTAACAACACAGATCCAAGTATATAATTGATATAGCCACTTTCTTCCTTGCTCTGTTACACACGTTTTTTCCCTAAATTTACGTGAACTTCAAACTGATTAATTTCCACGTTACTAATTATATACTAAATCAAATCATGCGAGTTACGTGGTGTAATATTTAAAAAATTCCACAATTCACGCAGAATACCTTCATATACCGTTTATCAATTCCAGGGGATCCATGTTTCCTCCACGGATCCTATGTCCGCTTTTTCTCTGTCTCTGGCCAGTCACTGACGGACAGGTATAACCACGAGATTCAGATATCTTGAAATTCTGTACGTTCAAATTTCTTCGTGCTGTCAGACTTATGAGAGTGTGCATTTGAGAATTTATCTAAACTCAATTATTATGAATACTAAAACATTTAATAATGTGTATTCACGACGCATGAATAAGGGAGTTCAATGAAATCAAAACTTTTGATGAATCCTGGCTTTAGATTACAGATATTTTAAGTATGTCTCTATGGGAAACACGCAACAATGTGACTGTCCCTGCAGGATGAGAAAATTAATGGAACCGTTTCAGTACCATACAAATACAATGAAGGTAATTAAAAAAATTAAAAAAAAAACCCTGAGACACATCAATGTTAGGAAACAAAAAACACATAAATCAGTAGATTCAATTAAATCACAAGTTCATTCCAAAAGCAGTAGCACATTTTCTTGTATGGAAATCAATTTTATTACCTTGAAACTCTCCCGTATTTCACTTAAGAATAATGAGGTAAACTAACTTCAGTCGACTTTTGAAAGGAGCAATTACAAAAAATGAGGCCTGTGTGAGCTGTGAAGTATTGCTGATTTTCAGATTATGATATTTCCATTTGACGAAAAGACTCCTTTAAATCTTACAGCAGGTACAGACGGAGATGATATTATTCTCCTTTAATTTCAAGTGCCTCTTTCAACTGTCTGGTCATGTGGCTTCGTGTGAGACAATATACAAAAATTATGATCGTTCAGAATGGTAGAAGATCGAAATACAAATGTATTAACTGTTTATGAATATTATCCTAGCATCTACCCAATGCGAATGAGGAAAATCAAAATAGGTAAAAAATTAGAGTACCTCCATCGATTATTATATTGTGGATCGTCTGAATACGGCGCTGTATGAAGACAGGGCTCCCTATGAACGCCCTCTAATTTTCTAAACTCTATCTAAATGTGAGTAATATAATAACATTATCTCTACGTAATAATGTAGGTCGATGCTCACAAGATTTAAAAAGCTATAACAAGAAACACTCCGCTGAACACAGTCCTAAGTCACTTCTATCCTCTCTTGATTCTTGATTCATATCTATTTCCATAAGATCTATTTTAACATAAAACTTCCAGTTTTCTCGGCGTCTTCGATGTCCACTTTTCCTGAGATGTTTCCGCGCAAAATTTCTGCTTTTGTGTGTTTCTATTTTCTTCACCAATATCCCCACTTGTTACGCCCATGGCAGTGCCCTATATCTCACTTTCACATCTGAGCATGATGCATCACATTTCCTATTGCATATGTTCCTGTCATCTCCCTTTACATAGCCTTGTCTCAAGTTTTTATATGGCTGTGGTTGTACTGACATGAGTTGTCCACTGTTTGAGGTCAGTTCTTCCTAAGGAATCCACAAGAGCGTCCTCCCGTCGCCTGAGGACGTTAACAGATCCAGTATCCCAAACGCTGTGTTCTCTAGTCTTTACAATACCGAATGACGGATAAAATCCAAAATCCCAGGATTTCTGTGTCTTATACACCATTGTCAGAACGCTTTAGAGTCTACTTACAAATATGTTATTATTACAAAAAACTCACGGGAATTCCAATGTTACTTAAATAAATAAATACCACGAAATGCCCCAAATATATGTGTGCATACTGTTATGCACCTGTTATGCCATGGTGACAGGGGGCGTGGTGGTATCTCCGCTGTCACCTTCTGTACTGCAATCACAGGAGTAGGGCTAAGGAAACTGCTAAATTTCTTCCTCTATTGTTTCTCCATTGGCTAGAGGCACACTATTCGCAGGGTTTGGCAGGACGGCGCAGGTGCGAAATGTGGTAAGGGAGGAAATCACAACAACAGAAACCCACATCTCACCCTGTGCTACCCTATATTAGTATAAACAAGCAATATACAGTTATATACATTTTAGTAATATCACAAAGAGCCGACTGGTGTCGGATTACCATTACACTTTCTTAGACGATTCTTGGACCTCAACTCTCTCTCTCTTTTCACCCAGTTGCGGGTCGCTAGTCTCCTCTTTCTCCTGTTCTACTCAACCACTATATATATATATATATACACACTTCCCTGCATCAAGACACACCCTCTGCTGTCTCTACATTACACCTGGCTACCTCTGCATCACTCCGTTGGATCACTCTTACGCCCTGTACACTTGTATTGTTCCTAACTCGTGTCCCATTGGAGGAGTTTCACTTTAATAATATCACAATCATTAAGCAGGGCGATAAGAGTAGTTCCACTTACTTTGGGTTAAGTCTGCAGACGGATGGCGTTGCCTGATGTCTAGTAGGTGCCCCTTCGGCCGCAAATGAGCCAAATTTACTGTTTCAATAATCCCCCCTAATAATTTGCTCTCCGGGTTATATACCTTTATTCATGCTAACTCATTACTTTCCTGGAGGGTGTAAGTCCGCCTATAATGACGTTTTGTCCCAATTGGTTGGCTGCGATCCTTAGGGTGGACACGCCTCTCCTACTGCTAGCCCATTTGGCTAACACGTTTACCTGCAAACGTCCCTCCGTTCACTTAAATGTAAATTCTGTAGAGTTAGCAGTTCAGTATTCACCCAACGTCATTCTGCTGACAAGACATCGACGCGTCAAAGGCTAACGCCGTCTAACTCCATACGAAGAAATTCCTTGAAGTTTCTTAACCCTTCTTACATCCTCTTTCGTACATCTTACAAGAAATTCCCAAGACTAATTCAATTCCAACCAACACTTTCCCCTAAAAATATAAAAAGTTAAATACTCTTTTAACATATTACCGGGAGTCGGCCTTCAGGGCACAACACATACACATGCCGATGTCAGTCAAAAAGTTTATACCCGTCTTCACGGACAAGATACCTTAATGTAACGTTACGTTCTTTCAGCAAATCAGCATCAAGCTGGCTTAAAGCAGTGTGTGCTTGCTGTCTGTTTCATGTTGGTTTCTTGCTTAGGTTTTTCTTAAACCATGAAGTTCGAGGCGATATATCCGTCCTAAACGTCGGTTGATTTTCAGCAGGCTATGCCACTTCACAGTATATTCACAGACTCTAGTATATGAACATCAAACAGAACATATAATGTGATCATTTTCTCCAAACTTGCACTGAAATAGCGTTCAACTTTTCCTTTACCTCATACATTTAAATACGGGTACATACATCACAATGACGGTCTATACGATCCACAGTAGAACACATGAAATAATTTTCAGGTTTATTCTTAATTTAATTTTTTTCTAAGTAATACAAACTTATTGCAAAGTACAAAGTTCAGAATATCAGAATTTTAAGTCAATATTATTGAACGCGACCCCTTATTGTTCGTTTGCAAGATGTAACTTCCATGACCTCATATTCGTTTTTAATATTTGAGACAAACTGTCATGATTTACGGGTGTGTGTCTATAGAAGGGGTATGGCTTTGATATTGGATTTAATAACCACTTGTACACCCAACTCAGAAATATATTTTGCAGATTGCTGACACACACAGATTTGTGTTCCCAGGTTATTAAATTCTCCACTAGCCGTTTCCTGGAAACGGTTTCCACCGAGAGGGTTTTTTCACCTTCCCGCACTGAGATCATTGGGTCACAGCCGCCCGCGCAGAACTCTTCTCCACTCACAACTCAACTAACTGGGTCCCTACCTGGCTGCCTTATCACACCAATCCCCAATTCTTCTCTTCACAGACTGACTTCCAACCGACAACTGACAACTGAACTCTCTCACCATCCAGCTACTTCACGTCACTTCACTCTACTGAACTCCTGTCAACTAACTCAGAGTCAGAGTCATGTTGCAACTGACGGTCATTCAGTCTGTCTAACTTAGTGTCGAGCGCCAGCTGTGGTTCATGACCAGATATGTCTTTTGAATGAAGGTTACTGTCTTGTCTATGTGGAGCGCCCTCTCTGACGAGAGGTCGGGTCTGTCATTTGTCAGTCAGTCTGTATTAATAAGTCCACTCTCTGTATCTACATATATTTACATTTACACGCTTATTCTTACTTCAATGCACAATATATACAAGGCCTCTGTTAGTCCAGGCTCGGTACAGTAGTTTTGCCGCCCTCCTCTTCTTCTTTCGTCGTTACCGCTCAGTGAGACTTCAAGCCTCTCGAGTTGGTCTTCGCTTATTACCGTCCTTCACGTCCGCCCCTTTGTGGTCTGCACTTGTATCCGCCGCTTCCTGTTGCTTTCTGGTTCAGGGTAAGGAGTGGGATTATTCTGAATTTGGATTTGTGTGGGCGCCAGTGGACTTGGATGACATCCACGAGTTTTGAACGGGGAAAACAAAGGTGGGGATTTGGATGGGGGGGACGTTTGGGGTTCCGACTGCTCAGACGGCAGGACGAGATTCTGTCTCAGGGCGACTAATGGGCCTTGCTCACACAGGGAGAGAGAAAACACTGAAAAACACACCCTTCACCAACACTGTTGCGTTTATTGTAGATGTTCACTACAATTACCTATTACCCGGCTGTAGCACTTTGAATTGTACACTGGACTCGGGCCAACACCGATTTAACGTCCGGGAGGTTACTACTGACTCCGGTTATTCCCTTTGGCTAATCACTCCCGCTATTTCCTTCTGATGACTTGTAATAACTTGTAATAACTGACTGCTCTGGAGAGGCAGACGTCCCGACGGTTCCGGGAACGCCTGGATTCCTCTCCTCTGAAATTTTGCTGATTGGCTGAACCTCAAATTTGGGTGTTTCTTTCATTTGCATTCAGCCAATCCCTAACCAGATCCATGTTAATTTGGGCCTAAGTACAACACGGTCCCTCTGACAGCTCTTAAATAAATGGAGGTACGCTAACAATCGCTCGGTACGCCCCTTCGAAAATTATTGCGACTCGTTTCTGTCAAGTCTCAAATTTTCAAGGACTCGAACCGTCGAAGTTAAGCATTGAAAGCCCTAGAAAACACAGCGGGATACTTCCTGCTCCGTTCTGGGTCTTCAAGTGACCTGCAGCTTGCTTGTCCCTCAGAAAGACCAGATGTTGTCCTTGGAGTCTGCTGGTGCTGGGGTCAATTATGTATCATCTATTGTTAACAGTAGTACCTTTCGTTTCCATGTAGTGCATTGTAATTAACAATGTAAATGAAAAGCATTCCTGAGGTCCCTGCATGGTGCGGTTACAGTAGATTATGCCCTCTTTTTTTTCTTAGTATTATTAGCTACCACGGCAGTCTAGTCACTTGAACGGTCGTATGCCTGACCGCCGCCAAGTTTAAGCCTCTTATACTTTAGGCCTCCTGTCCATTGGAAGCGGAAAGCTGCGGAAAGTTGCGATGAGGAGTTCGTCTGAACATGCACGGAAACGGCCTAACGATCCTAACAGCTTGCATCAGGTTAGACTGCGTCCAGTAGTAGCAGCACTGTTCGTCAGTGAACGCGCGTATACTTGCGAACTGCGAAATATCCAGATTGGTTTGGATTTTTCGGACGAAGAGCTGCGTTCATTTAAAAATGGATGTTGAAAAGTTGATACTCTTAGTGCAAGAAAGAAAGAATTTATGGGATCAACGAGATGCTAATTATCACATGCGAAATGTGCAGAATAGGTTATGGAGCGAGATTTCGAGGGAAATGAACGAGCCAGGTACATTTCAAGGATTGTTTACAAAATACATTTTGAAAGTGTCTCTTACATCACAGGCCCTAGCAGTACTTCTATTTTCACCTCTGGTAGCAAATCTATTTAAGTGAGGGTTACTTGGTTCAACTGTAGTAGGTCGTAAATCTGTCATTCCTTCTTTGTCTATTATTATATTGTGTAATAAGCAAATGCATTTTACAATCTGTTCTGCTCGCTCGGGAGTAACTTCCAATGCTTTCAGAAGTATTCGCCACTTATTACTCACTATGCCGAAAGCACACTCTACCACTTGTCTTGCATGTGCCAAACGCTTATTAAAAATTTCTTCTTCAGATCCTAGCCTCCTTTGAGGGTAAGGGCGCATCAAAAATGTTTTCAAGGGATACTCCTCATCCCCAACTAGAACATAGGGTACTGGTAATTCAGTACCAGGTAGTTCTGTCTCGCAATTCACTTTAAGGGCCCCACGTTCAAGCTGTTTGGCTAAGTTAGAATATCCAAAGATACCACTATCGCTCTGCTTTCCATAGGCTCCAACATCGATACAAATGAACCTGTAGTCTGCTGCTACCACTCCTTGCAATACGATAGAGAAGTATTTCTTATAGTTGTAATACATACTACGAGATTGTTTTGGGCATTTGATTCTAATGTGTTTTCCGTCTATGCTGCCGACGCAATTGGGAAATCTCCATTTCCGATAAAATTCGGCTGCTATGTGATCTACTTGTTCTTCAGAAGGGAATGGCGCATGGTCATTGCGTAATAATTCCCATATCACATTACATGTTTCATGAATAATTCTTCCCACTGTTACATCTGACATACGAAAAGAGTAACCCTACGTTTTGAAATACGATCCAGTTGTTAGGTACCTGAAAAAAATAAAGCCCTTATTGCAATGTTATAACTTATTGGACGACACTATCATGCATTTATTGAGATGTTCGAATATTACTTTTTAAAATGTACAACGGTGCTATTTCAGTTGAGGGCATTAAGAAGAGATGGAGGGGACTGCGGGACACGTTCCGGAAGGAATTAAAGAAATGTAGGGACAAACGATCTGGAAGTGGCGGAGACACGTCACATGAAGCTAAGTGGGCTTTTTTCAACCAACTATGGTTTTTGACAGATACTGTTGAGCCTAGAAGTATGACAAATAGTGTTTCTGTTGTTCTAGAAGACAGTAATGAAATGGACACTGAAAATAACGACTTTCAAAGTGACTCTACTGCGACACTCTCTAGTCCTCATCAATTAGATCTGGAGAATGCTGCAGGTCCCGCTCAAGAAAATGACGAAGATCAGCAAGTAAATATACCTACAGCAAAAAATAAATAAAACATTCAAGAGCCCACAAAAAAGGGAAAGGAAAGGAGAGTTGATTACGATGACAAGTTATTGGAAACTGAAACTAAGAAGTTGAGTTACTTTGAACAAAGCTCAAAAACGAAACAAGACAGCGACTACCAATTTCTAACGAGTCTGCTACCAACTCTACAGGCTATACCCAATGAAAGAAAGTTGCACGTACGCATGAGTTTGATGAATGTGATATTACAGGAACAGGAGCTAAGTCGTAGTGCAATGACCACGCCAAATGCTTCACCCCTATCATCTGAGTCATCTTTCAGTTCCCAGAATAATCAGGTTTCAACATTAGATAATAATGCTGCAGTGTATTAACAGTCATTTTGATCCCCAGCAATTGTAAATGAAACTCAATGTAACTGTATGCTGAATTATAACAATTAAAATACAAACAATGACACACGCTTGTTTTCTTAAATCCTTGCCTTAGAGTTACGGCCAGACGTTCTTCAGGTGAAATAGTTTCTCGGAAGGTACTGTACTTCTTCAATTGATCTTGTACTTTGTTTAACAGGCATTGAAATGTATCACATTTCATGAGGAAATAACCAAAATACTGTGACTCGTCTTTTTTTAAATCTTTACACATATGAGAAAATTCACCAAACATTTGTCTTTTCGATAAAATATCGTTTACCCACTGCTGTCTCCTTTTCTGAGCTCTTCGTCTCGCTAATAACAGAGGCGTTTCCAGTGCATAAAGATCACACAAATCTTCATGGAGCGCCATGATCTCACAGGCATGGACGAATGCTGATTCGGCCGAATACGCAGACAAAGAACGCTAGTGTTCGCAGGAATCCGCTTTCAGTGGACGAATAGCGTTAANTACACACAGAGCTACTCAAAATAAACTGATTAGTGACGCAAGTTACTAATGAGTCCGCAATGAGTCACTTCCAATGTGACTGAATGGAACACCACACAGCGCTACTGATCAGTAACGCGTTACCAACCCGTTAGTAATAAGTTCCAGGCAACTCCGCGGCCAAGTCACTAGGGTCAGTAGGGACTGAAGTAGCTCAGTTTCTTGGTGACTTTCTTCAAGATGTGCGAACAACAGCTGGATACGTTATTTGTAGGATAAGTTGAAAAACATCCTGTTTTGACAATTTTACGCTTCCTGGATATTCGAAGAAAGATAAAAGTGAAAAGGCATGGGATGAAGTTCGAAAGAGTGAATATGACAGGTATGTACTATTTTATTTTTTAATGTCGCAGAGTGGAAATATTAAAAAACGGTTCGAATATGAATTAATTATTAATTAATTATGTAAGTATATACATAATTAAGTGATTATGAGGTTATAATTAAACTGTGGAGAGTTTTCGATTTCAAAATTAGTTAGGTTATATTGTAGGTTCATAAACAAAATTTCCACTGCCAGGGTAGAGATGCTAGTGGGGTAAGAAAATAGTTTGCCAAATAACTCCTCAGAGCCGTTGCAGGAGAATTCATGTGTATTGTCATGTTTTGTGGTTGAGGTTGTACCACACGGCTATCAACTTCACTTCCCGTGAATTCGTCTGTTGGCATGTACTGAAGCCCCTCTAGTTTTCGTACATAGTTGTGAAGAACACAGACAGCTTTGATGACAAAGTCCACGTACTTTGGATCCCGGATGCGGATAGGACCATTCAAAACAGCGAACTTCTCGCAGGTCATGCCAAAAGCACATTCAATTGTTTTCCTTCCTCGGCTCAATCTGTAGTTGAAAATTCTTTTCACATTATCAAGAATTTTTTGAGGGTAGGGTCTCATCATATATCGCGCCAACGGGAAAGCTTCATCGGCAACAAAGTAATAAGGAAACGTACTGTCACTATTATGGTATTTCAATGGTGAGGCGGGAGGGATATCGAGTCTGTTATTCAGGATCCAATGTTTTATGGCTGAGGCACGGAATATGCCCCCATCGCTGTTTCTTCCAGCATAGCCGGTTTCGATCATTGTGAATATACCGTCGGCATCGCAGCAAGCCATTAACACTATCGAATGATATGATTTATAGTTGAAATTAGTAGAGCCAGTATTTGCAAATTTCTTGATTCTGACATGCTTGCCGTCTATAGCGCCTATGCAATTGGGAAGATTACAGAGGGATTCAAATCGTACTGCTGTTGCTTCCTACTGGTCCCTTGTTGGGACATGCATGTCAGTCTCCTTCAGCGTTTCCCAAATCGCTTTTGATGTCTCAGCCACAATGTGACCAACTGTGGACTCCCCTCGAGCAAAATACGCAGCAATCGATGTAAATGTTCCACCAGTTCCTAAATATCTGTACAAAAAATCAATAAAATTACGATGAGAAATCTTCATAAATATAAAATGAAAAAATTTGTTAATATCTTTTATATATGAGTATATTTTATATTTTATAAATAAGAAAAGAAAAATGGTCAGGGCACCACCAGTTAAGCAATAATAAATTTGTTTGTTTCAGTGGCTCAATGCAAAGAAAGATGGAAAAACCTACGTGCTGTTTATACTCGAAACATGAAATGCTCCAAAAGTGGTTCGGGAGCAAAGCCAAAGAAAGCGTACTACCTTTTAGAAGCTATGCAGTTTTGTCTTCCATATATTAAGGCATTAGGTACGCCTTCAGGGAATTTACCCCGTCCACCACAACAGGAAGAAAATGAGCTATTCGAAAATAATGACACTGGAAGTATAGTATTGCCAGAACCTCCTTTATCGCAACAGGAGCTTCAATCGCCGCCGCCACAGCCACTACCACTGCTCTCCACCCAAACTGCTGAAATGTCTCAACAGTGGGAAACTCTGCCTGGACCTTCACCATCACATCATATACCGAAGAAGAAGCGTTTCGTGAACAATGAAGCAGTTGACAAAGCGTTCATCGATTACTTTCAGGCCAAAAAAACCAAAACGTTGACCAAAACAGGCCTTGCCAACCAGGATCCAAAAAGTGAGGGGCTGAAAATGTTCCTTCTAAGCATGCTGCCTGATCTTCTGAAAATGTCTGATGAAGAGGTGCGACATTTCAGGCGTAAGGCCCTAGATATTGTTGACGAGATTTTGTCAACGCGCACTNCACGCACTCCCTCATAATTGTGTTTTGTTTTTGTATGACAGGGGAAATTATTTGCACAAGTTCTAAATAACTTTCTTTAGACATTCGATGGAACGCTAAAAATTTGGCATCTGAAACTTCGAGCTCTTTAGCAGCAACAAATAATCGTCGGTGGAAATTTCTTTCAAGGTACGGATGAACCCAGAATCTTCTTCGTATTCTTTCTCTTCTATAGCAATGAAAATATAATAATATGACAGCTTCATCGCTTGAACTGTCACTGGAATCATCACTAACCAACAAAGACCGAGATGATGGTCTTTCCATGATTTCACTGAACAAACTACTGATTTCGATCTTTTTTGAGTAGCTTCGTCTGTGGATCCGCGTCACTAATGAGTCAGTAACTGATTGCTGATTCCAGTCGCAAACCAGTTCCGTTTATTTTGAGTAGCTCCGTGTGTAGACGGCCTTACAACTAACTCGGCTGCTGTCCTCGTTATAAATATTCGGGGACTCCCGACAGAAAACACCGCCTCAAACAATCCTACTAAGGTTGCCATGGGCGGTTGTCTACCAACAGACTGGATATCGTTTCCGCGAAAGCGTGTCTGCCGACCCTTACTTGGAAACGTGTCTTTGTTTGCCCGTCTATTGCATGGCAACTCCTGCACTGGTTTTCCGCTTCGGGGTCTCTGAACAGCAACGGGTCTAACTACACAATGCATATTTAGACTTGCCAATATTACCGTGTTGTGCTGTGCAGAGAGGAATATCTATTGCTACTGCTTCCCTTATAAACTCATATGCATTCTCTTAGGCAAACACACACACATAACTTCAATTAAATTATATCAACTGACTTAGATTTATTAAATTTCAGGTTCTTTCAGAGCTGTGACTATAAGCAGTAGTAACCCGAAATTGTGAATTTCCCTAGGTCATTAAAAGTCCTTTAAGAGTCTCAGAGACAGATATCGCCTACAAGTTCAAGGTCAACGAGTAACACGAGCAAGAAACTACCAATGAACAGTGGGCAAGCAGAGAGCTCTTGAGAGAACATAACATTTGTTATCCTAAATTACGACTGATGATAACGGTTCTATATTTGAACCCCTGCCAGAGACCCAAACATCAGGGCAACTCTGCAAGTTGGAGAAGGAGAGAGAGAGAGAGAGAGCACGCGCTCCGTTTGGATGAATATAACGTT